TTATCGGGCTCTTGTCGGGTGACGACGATGACACGGGTTCGCAAACCAACGGCAGTGTAGAAGAATTCCGCCCGAGCCATAGACGAACTGCGTCTGGACGTGTCATCTCAACCATTTGGACAGGCACCGGTACAGGTGGCGCAGCCAACGGGCCTGGTGGAGGCTTGCAAAGGCTAAGTGAGCGACTGCAAGCTGGAGTTTTCGCGATTTACGGCACGGACAATACTTGGCTGTTTGCCGCACGTAGCGAGCGGGACAAGATGGACTGGATCTTCCGCATCGACCAGAGCTACTTCTCGAGCAGCGACAGCGCCAACGGCAGCGGATCGGGCACCCCCGATAGGTATGATGATTCTCTCATCGGCGGGTACTGATTCTGTGGACCAGTCATGAGTTCATCAACGAACCTCTTTTTTCCTATCTTACCAGTCTAGAAAGACGAAACCCCAATTTGAAACGACGGCATTGCATGAGCATTGGGCACACGCTCATTTTAACCACATTTTCTCTTTGTTCCGTTTGTATAACGCACGACACGACTTGCAGTATACCCTCTATGGCTTGGAAAATAGGATTGCGGAGGGGAGAGAGCAGGAGGAGGAAGAGCTGAGACGGAAGACGGAAGTCGGAAGACAGCCGATAATTGTCTTTTGGTTTGGGAGAGGTTGGCTATAGACGAGGTGGACGGACACGCAGGAAAGAAACCTGCGGCACAACGAATGACACAAAAATCTAGACAGAGACAGAGAGCTGCCCCTTGGGGAAAGAGGGGGATGCAAATGAGGTCAGCCTGAGGCAATCTGCGCTCGTTCTTCTTGGCTGCTACGAAGACTTGGATCCCCGGCTTGTGGCTAGGTGAGAGGGCTTGCACGATGTTATCCCACAGTCAAGCTGCTTGGATACTGCATATAGTTTTACGAAGATATATCTAATGATTAAATGGTTCGAAGCAAGATCGTTGAGTTAATGGAATTAATTTCTGGGGTGTGGGAAATAAACGTCTATTCTGGCGTACACATGGCTTCAAAGCCGTTTAGATGTCTACGTCTACCGTCTTCGCCAATGCGTTGCGGCATAGCCCATTCAGAGTCTCCTCCGCACCAATCATACGTGCTCATCTGTCCCCGAGGTTGGTAATGTACGACGAAGTTAGCCGCTCTCTACACCCAGAGAGGTGTCGAAGCTGCCCGGGACGCAGAGGTCTCGCGCGCCCTGACGGCATTGACTCTGCACGAATCAGCTGAACCCATATCCATGGATAGATCCCACAGCCCGTCGAATTCTACCGAAGAGTACTCGGGGAGAGATCACGTTGCATCGTCCATGGCTCGCTCCCCATTGCGCTATAAAAAGAAGGCCAAAAATAAGAAGCAAATGCTCAATACAAGAACTGGTACATGAATCCGACTGGAGTTTAACTAAGAATGAATGTCGATTTAGGGATTACAACTTTGCGCTCTCGGCGACTTCGCCAATCTTGAGCTTGCCGCCGTACTTTTCGAGCACCTTTTCGTTGTGGTACTTCCAAAACACCTTTGTCGCATTCTTGCCGGCGAAGCGCTTGAGGATCTTTTCGCCGCCTGGGTGCTCTGATTGGAAGGCTGGAAGAAGTTTGTCAGCATACGGAGTAGATCATGGGTGATGGCGAGGAAGCGTGTGTGGTGATGAGAATGAGAGAGAGAGCGGGAGGCGATCTTCGCGGAAATTGGGGGGCCAACTGCGGCCATGATGAGGATGCGTGAGTGGTCGCCGTACCTGTGATGTCGTAGACGCCGTTCTCGACAATGAGCCACATGTCCTTGTCGGTCTTATGCTGGGCGACCTCTTGAGTGGTGAACGTCTTGGACATTTTGGCGGTGTTTAGAAGGGGTTGCGTGAGGGGTTCGGTAAATTGCGTTATTGTAAGCCGAGTGTTGACAGGCTACTGATAGTATTGCAGGTATAGGTCGTGAGATGCCTGGTGAGAAGTTGGTGTGAGGTTGAGGAGAGTTGGAAGTGAGTCGATGAAGAGGAAAACGACGGAAATGGGGGAAGCACGGGGTTTGGTGTTGGCGTTTGTTCGGTGTCGTCGCAGCGGCAATGCACCACACGCTGAACTGCACTCACCGGTCCGAGTGCGTGCGGTGCTGGGCGCGCGCGTGGTTGTGTGTGCCGTCTCACTTTTGTCGAGTCAAACTTACCTCGGCTCATCTAGGCGCGAACAACGGGGCGACGTCATTCGATTCGTCTGCTGCTGATTGGGGGTGGGCGACCTGACTCCGCCGGCACTAAAGGCCCCAAGGGTGAGCACGGGAGGAAACCTGGAGTAGCAAAATGCGGGAGCAAATCACGAGACTCGCATTTCTCATCAGCACAGCTCAGCTTGCAAAGATCCGAGGCTCCGCTGGAGTTTGTGTCCGTACCACCCTTGAATAGAAATGCTGGTAATGCTGGGCTTTTGGGTGTGTGTGACCTTTACTTTTCTAGCCTTTTTTTGTTTTGTAATTACTCCCTGGGCCAAGGGTATCCGGGGTATTGCTGGGGTCGATCAGGCACATGGGATTATGGGAACGATGCCGAGGGCAGATAACAGCCTTGTTGGCCATACCGGGTAGAGATCATGGTACGCGGATCCTTTCTCTCTTACTACCTGCACACATCTATCAAGATGATAAGCGGCGATGTTAGTGCAGTGCAGAGGGGAAATTTCGGACAAGAGAAACGAAATGCAGAAGCAAATCCACAGGAGCGCCATGCCATGACCAATCCCGTCTAAACCCCAGCGCCAAAAACACCTAGCTAACTATGCAAGTGTGCTCGCATGCCCATGAGGGGAGAGCTACTCTAAAATTGTACAATCATGCTTCCTTTATCCAGCGCCCGTCTAAACATGTTGGCGAACCCAGCGGTTCCCTGGCAGTCGCTTGCCTCGTACTTTTCTATGGCCTTGGGCATCCACTTCCGGTAATCCTCGATTCGATGTTCATTCTAATGATGGCTGTTAGAAATGGCCAAAATGGAAGGGGGAAAGCTTGCGGCTCGAAGGAAAAGTAGATCAAGACAAACGCAAGAAAAAACATACCGAAGGATGCGTGCTCATAAACTCTGGAACCTCCTCTGCTTGCCCCTGCTTAGCCGCCATATCCATACGCTGCCAAAACGCAATGGCCTCGCGCGGGTCGTAACACGCCTCCGCCATGAGCATCAGCCCAATATAGTCCGCCTCGCTCTCCTGCTTTCTCCCCATCGGCCGCGCAAACATGAGATCCATGAACCCGGTGCCCAGGTACTGCACGAGTGCCATGACCGGCGGGAACATGCCCGAAAGTATCACCATGCTGCCGAGAAAGATGTTGGGCCCGATGGACTGCGTCCAGCGCTCGCCGACGTGCTGCGCGAGGTTGTGCGCGATCTCGTGGCCCAGCACCGCCGCCAACCCGTCCTCGTTGCGCGTCAGGCGCAGGATGCCGCTGTGCACAAAAACTTTACCGCCGGGGAGCACGAACGCGTTGAGGGTTGTCGGGTCGTCAATCACGCGGACCTCCCAGTCCTGGTCCTCGAGCCCGGAGACGGGAATCAGCCGGCGCATGACGCGCTGCACCATTAGCACGCGCGGGTCCCACGAGGGGAGGAACCGACCGCCCTGGGACTCGACGTCGTAGATGACGCGCTTGACCTGCTGGGCCGACAGCGTCTCGACCGAGGCCTCGGAGTAGCAGTTGAAGCGCCTGCGGCCCGAGACGGGGACGGTCTGGGTGTTGAAATATACAAAGGCGATGCCCGCGAGGACGGCCACGACGGCGGTGCCGGCGAAGCCACGGGACTTGAAGAAGCGCCCGATGTCGTCGACCGTCATGAGAGGCTTAGCGGTGCGGATGTTGTATTCTCGGAGGACTTCGCGGTGGGCGGGGTTGCGGGGGTCGTAGCCGCCGGGCCCCTTCCCCGCAGCCGGCCGCCGGATCGTCTGGGAGAAGAGTCGGGGATGTTGTTGTTGTAGCCGGGCATCATTTCGTATTACTTGGAAGGGAGGGATTCGGGCTTGCTGTCGTGTGGCGGGGAGGGAAAGGCCGGCGAGTTGACGGGGCGCGGCGCGGAGGGCGGGCGGCCGCAGGAGAGCGCGGAGGGTGAACATGGCTGCGGGCGCAAGGGCTCGCGCCGGAGAAGCGGGCTGGGCCGGAGGATAGGCGCTTCTTTCGTTGCCTCGGCGTAAGAGCCTTTACGCAATTGACGAGCGGGTGCAGCTGTCGCAAGCGGGAATCGAGCGTGGGATTGTGCGATGTGAAGAGCTTCGTTGATGCTGTCATCATTTCGGAGTTCTTGCACGGAAAGAGCTGACGACGGCGATAACGATAAGAAGTGTGGCGTCGGAAATTTTAACCCAGCCACAGCTGGGTCAATTCTTCAAGGTAGCACTGTTGGTACGTCGTCCACAAGGATTACAATCCGTCAACTTTTGACTTTTGGTATTGAAAGCATTCAACCATCTTGCGCCATGGGATGTCTAAGCATCATTCGTAGCTTCCCTCCATGTCGCCTGAAATCATCAATGCCATGAAATCTCTTTGGGCGCCACCCTCAGTAACGCCAGTCTCAAGCGAGCATCCAGGTTCCTTAGCAGAGATGACGACTTGTGAATAATAACTGGATTGGTCCTCGGTTCTGTTACCTTGCACATGGCTGGCTGTTCCTTGTCCACGGGTAGTTATCGTGAGGATCACTCTAATTGCTGACCTACTAGAATGGGTCTTTCATCCGCTCCTTGTGATCAATCATCCCCAGTACCCTGCTAGGGTCAGTAGCTCAGACCGTCAGCTTATGGGGGGTGACAATTCCCTCACACTTAGGAAGATTTTGGTAATGCGCTGGAATATTGTGAAGATTTTTGATTCCTTGAGTTCAATATCGACTTAGTTCTGGGTTTGCTCGAAATCTTAGACCCGTTTACCTTTTGCCTCGTATTCTCTCATAGACCTCATATTCCAAGACTCTCTGAACACGTAGGAACCCCGTAACATATAATAATGGGCTCCATCCCTCTCCCAGATCTCTCCCACCTATCCCCCTCCGCCCTACCCACCCCCCACGATCCCCCCTCCACCGCAAAGATCGTCTCAGCCCTCTCCCTCCACGCTCACTACGAAGGCGGCTTCTACATAGAGACAGACCGCGCCCCAACCTCGATCCCCTCCCCGTTCCCAGCAACGCCCGCCTCAGCCTCGAACGGGGCAGCACCCTCGACCAACGATCCGGACTGCCCTCCACTGACGACCGAGCAGCAGAGGCGGGCCCTCTCGTCCGCAATATTCTACTACCTCACCCCAACTTCGCCGATAGGCCACTTCCACCGGAACCGCTCCCGCATAACGCACTCCCTGCACCGCGGCCGCGGCCGCTACGTCGTCCTCCAGCCGGACGGCGTAATCGAGAGTTTTGTCGTGGGCGGCAACGTCGCTGCAGGCGAGAGGTTACAGTGGACCGTCGAGGGGGGCGCTTATAAGGCGAGCTTCGTGTTGCCGGACGAAGACGAGGGCGCATCGTCGTCGTCGGTGGCGTCTTCGAGTGAGGGATTGCTGATTACCGAGGTCGCTGTACCGGGGTGGGAACCTTGCGATCAGGATTTTTTAACGCAGGAAAAGTTGTCTGAGTTGGTGGGTGAGGATAAGGCGAAGGGGCTGGAATGGTTGATCAAGAAGGAGTAAATCAAGACTCTGACAGGTAGGAAAAGGAATAGATTGGGGTATTGAACGCTAGGAAGGAATTTAAAGAACAAGTATGGTATCTTTTTGTGCTATGCAGTATGTTTCTAAAGTCATAATCGTACAGGCCTATGTGCGCCGCTCAAAGCGTTGATTCGTATCGCGTCTGCAACTTCTCGCAAGTCTGTATGCACAAAAATATCGTTGCGAGCTATCTTGAGCTCTTATTGCACGCGTGCTGGTGGTTCTCGTTTGAAGCACGGCCTAGTCTAAATTGTCGTCTGATAAGTTTGTCGTGGAAATCAGAAAGGGAAAAGCGGGAAGACAGCCTAGGACTCCGGCTTCGCCATACGTAAAGAACGCCCCGTCTATTAGAAAGTTCGTTAGATCATGTAACTCGCTTCAGTCGGTCATTTCCTTGTTCTCTGACGGACTTTGCGCAGGAATGGCTTCATCCGGGTATGGTTTGCGACCCCATACAACCCAGACATGCTGATAAGCATGTATTTGCATGTTGGAAATGTCTCTGCGGACATCGACCAGAGAAACCTATGTCACAAACTGCATGTCAGAAAACAAGAATGGAATATCGAATAATTCCTCTCGAGTGAGACTTACCTGCACCTCTTCCTGCTGTCTTTCCAACACCTGCGTAAAGAGTGCCATGCTGAATCCGCTGAGGCCGTCCAAGAAATTCTGCTCCCAAAGCCTCCCGACATGCTTGTGCCTGGGGTGCTTGGCCCAGCCGTTGATCGGGATCTTGAAGACGCGCTGGTGGACGTCCACAAAGCCCACCTCCTCATACCACTCTCGCAGCATGTGTGCTCTAGACAAGGGGCGCCCAATCATCTCACTGGCGAGGTTCATGTCGTCCACCCAGCGAGATAGAGGTGAGTCGGGGGCAAGTGTGTCGTCGTCGCTCGTCGCCTCGAGATTGAAATCCTGGGACTCGAGCCAGCCGCCCGGGCGCAGGGAGTCGAAAGCCTGGCGTATGACTTCGTTTTTGAAATCGCCAAATGACCCGAGCAGAACGCGGGTGTGGACGTAGTCGAAGGGTTCTTCCCATTGCCACGATTGTGCGCTGCCGGTAGAAAGGTCAGGACAGTGTGTACAGGGGGGAAACCGTTGTCAGATGAAATGTCACAACACTCACGCATCTTCGATGTAAAAGTGAACGTTTGGTGGAACGGCGTTACTTTGGATCGGTGACAGGTCGATACCGACTATCTTGGCTTCCGGGTACACATCTCCCATATCCATGGCCCATGCCCCCGTACCTGTGCCGACGTCGAGGATCCGCTTGGGACTCCCTTCGACGGCGATCGGGGCGAAGTGTAACCTGCCGCTGAACAATTCTGTGAGTGCAAGCGATTGAAGGTCTAGACGCTCCTGCTCTGCAGGGTCGTTGGGGAAGACATAGGCTGGATGGAGTGTGTGAGCTTCTCGAATACGAGCCAAGTAGAGGGTAAAGCTACGGAATACTTACAGCCTGCTCGATACGCATGATACGTCCTGCCGAAATGTCTGGGAAAACACTCGACGTCGTCGGGTAGTGATTCAGTCTCCCTGCACGAACGTTGTTAGTCAGTGTAGATGAGGCTAAAGTAGTTCCGCGTGGCAGGCATTACCCCTCATGAGGATCGGGCTGGTGGAGTTTGTTAGTGACATGAGACGAACGATGGGTAATTAGACCTAGTTTTTTGGGGAGATAACATAAGGGGTCCAAGTCAAAACGTACGTCAACTTCAATGTGGCTGTCGTGCAGGGATGACTTGTCGGGGATTGCCTCAAATGTAAACTCGAAACCATGAAGACGACCATCGGCGACACCTGGTGGGAGAAAGGACATGACTGTGGTCTGCGACATGAAAAAGGTGACACAATATGAGGTGCGAAGCTCGAAGCTCGAATGGAGGGCTATGCTGGATACTTTAGCTGGGCGCTATGTATCCGCCTCCCGGAGCTTTTTATCTGCGAGCTAACGTTGACGGATTCGGAACGACGGTTGTTCGATTCCGGTTGAGCGCCAGCCTCATGGAAGACTGGATGGAACGAGTGGATGCGATTGTGTCGGCTTCTTCGCGATCGATCGTCGACGAGATGATTGGAACAAAGGAGAAGACGCTTCTGGCGTCGTTCTTGTAACGCCGCGGTGGAATTTGTGCACGTGTCTTCGGGGAGTTAAGTTGAAGCGTTTTGGTGCTGCTGCTGATGATGATGATGTAGTTGCCACCCTCTTCGCAGCTATTGAGACAATTGCGAATCTGTTGTAAAGGAGCGGGGGATGCAGTTGGACATCAAAGATGAACGGCGAAGAATCGAACGACCGAGCAGATAACGAGGAGAATCGGAGCCGAGAAGGTTCGCAAGAGCAGTGGCAAATAAGGGCGAACACCAGACCAGATCCCGATGGAAAAACAAAGTTTGGATTATTGAGCTCGAGATTAAGGTTGTTGAGGTAGGTGGAGGGCGGGAGGGGGGAAGTGTATGAGCTTTGTGTGTGAGTGAGTGTGAGTGAGTGAGTGAGTGAGTGAGTGGGTGGGTGGATGAGAGTGTCAGAATCTCAGGGTGAGCGAGCGATGGACCCAGACAGCTGGGTCGGTCTTGGTCGGTCTGAACCCGCGAGGGCGGGAAAGGCGGGAACGAAAACACGGGGAGACCCAGACACCCAGACTTGCCAGACCCAACGGGTTGGAACTTGGGACTTGGGTTGGTGTGGTTGTTTGGAATTTTGGTCGTGGTTGTTTGCTCGACTGAGTCCTCCATTAGGACTATTGCTGCGTCGTCTGACTGACACGATAGGTACCCACGAACCCGGGGACCCTGGACCCTGGGACCTGGGATTTCTGGCTCGGCGGTCCCCCTCCCTCCCTCCCTCCCCTCGCCTCCCATCCTGCTAATTGATTTAGTCTCTACAGATACCTTACCTTAATTATTCGTTGGAGCACATGGGCGACTAAGCTTCCGAGGTTACTCACTGGCCAAAAGCCTGCGTGAGATTGACAGAAAAGAACCCCCTTTTAGAAGTGTTTAACTTTGGGACCTGGCGCTTTCTTCCCCGATTTGCTACCGGATGTCGGGACGCTCTCAAGGAGGGGAGGGGAGGGGAGCAGCAGGGGTGGAGAATGGAAGACGGCGAATGGCCTTTTTATCGGCCGATAAAGGGGAAACCTAGAGGAAGGGGGGTCACCGAATCGCCGGGACTGGTTACTAGTTACTATCAAGAATCATCTTTCTTATTATCTCTCGAACCTTTACAGGCGTTTCTTCTTTTCTTGTTGTAATTTCTGGCGTAATTCTTTTCCAAGCCCTTCCATCTAGCGGGTGTGGGCTGCTGCATGAGGAGGGGTAAAAGCAAATGGATACATGCACAACGTTTTCACAAGGTCAGAACCAACGAAGTGTTTTTTTTCTTCTGCTTCAGCCATGTGCAAACGGCTGCAGAAAAGGAAAACAGGGTGCCACAGCGGGAGAAGATGAAAATAAACAAGAAGCGGATCGCAGGTTCAAGAGGGAAAATAAGCCCGAAGTTCCCCAAGCGACTAGCTATCGTCACCAACCGGAGGTCTTTAGAAGCAAGAAGAGACAAAGAGATGCCAATGTGACATCTGACACGAGGGTAAGAGAGAGGGGTAGTGGGAAGAAAAAGCTCCCATGTGGCTCGGAACCGACAGCCTAGACATACATGTCCAACACCACCACCAGGCTTTCCCTCTCCAAGGATCAGAACTTTTATGCAACCATGCGGACCACCGTATGCGGTGGGAAGCTGCAAAAGTAAGTTGGTTGGCATCGGGACAAAGAAGAGCTGGTGGAGTGGAAGAACGTGATTTGCCTATAACAGGTGGGGAGAGCTGGAGTCGCATCCTCTAACACACACTTTACGAACGCATGCCTTCTTCATACATAAACAAATGAGAGTATCTTCTCGCTCAGCTAGTGAAGCAGATGCTTTCTCTATGGCCTCTCACCACCTTAACCCAAGGTAAGTAAGTTCCAATGGTTGACTATCCGCAGCCTCACGTACCCAACGTTGGAACCGCCCGAAAGACGGTGTGACGGACGGGTCCACGGAAAGGAAAGGCCCAGTCTAGGCAAATGCAGCGGGGCGTGATGTGCATGTGCACTACACCAACAACAACTTAACAAGCCAACCTGCATGGTTGTCTGTCCCACCCCTCGGAATCTGAATGGGCGGAAAGGTTTGGCACTAGTTTTACTGTGCCGCACAGAAAACGCCCAGAGCTTAGAGGCGAGAAGCTGTCCCCGGTTCTCGGGCCCTGTTCCCAGCTTTTTGCTCTCGTTGAGTCGTTGAAGCAGAAGGAGGAAGAGACATAGATGTATGAGATAGGTGAGAGTGTGAGTTGCGAGTTTGTGAACCAACCACTTTGCCCAACCATAGCCCAAGGCAGATTGTCTGCCCCTTCCATCCGACACACATACCTCTCTAGCTGTTTTTCTTAGTTTCGTTTGAAACCAAGACATGGGAATTCCTCCTCCCGGGAAAGACATAATTTTGCCCGTCCCAGAAGGCTGGTTCGTCGTGTTCTGTTGTGCTGTGTCGTGTCGTGAGTGAGCATGTGCGTCCGTGTTCCATGTCTGTGTGCCCTGCCTGCACTGCACGGCTGGAAGCTGATATGTCACAAATTTGTTCATCTCTTGCCAGGTTACAGTTACACAACATAAAATGGGCATTTTTTCTGTATTACCCTATCGGCACTCAGCAGCTTTCGCTCCATCACGCACGCACGCAACGCTGTTTCTTCTCGACCGTATTTGTCGAGATGCATCAAGGTAGATGTCCATTCGCTTCCCGCCTAGACCCAGATTTTGGCGAGGCGAGGTGGGTTGAAGTTGTAGTGAGGGGGTATGGACGATCATGGGAGACACCGAGGTCCGGACACAATTGCCCGGCAAACATGAATTGTGTTTCGCTCCTCTGCTTCACGTCAGTTCCATGTGATGATCGCCGGCGGTACGGATTTTTCATTGAATATCGGTATTCAATCGGGCGTTGGAGAAAAATCCAGATCAGGTTTCAGTACGGAAAGTTTGGTGATCGTTCATTGGCATTCCAGTGATGGAATCATGCTTTCGCTATCCGGTCACGTTTGACTATGTACCGCTTGCTGCTGCCGTCCGTCTGGACTCTTAAGACTGCCCGAGACTCGCTAATTTCCGCTGCCGATCAGACGTGCGGATAGTTTGAATAAGAAGCCCTGTCCAACCCTGTCAAAGGCCATGGGTATGCCCGAGTCACCAACCTGTTGGTTCCAACAGAAGTATGTAAACCACCCGCGAGCATATAATAAGAGCTGCGGTAAACTCCGTTGCTCGCCAGAGGGATGTCGTTCGTCTGCTCGAGTCCCAGGATGTCGGAACCACGGGCGCCAGGACAGAATGGAAACCTGGGCAAGACCCCCCATCGTCCCTGACCCTACGTATAATGGGGGTGACTGTCATGAAATTCCCAGCTTCGCTTTGATGATTCCTTTTGCCAAGTCAACCCTCCGGCAGGCAAATACTTGATCAGCGTACGGAGGTAATCAGTACCTTCCGGTCTAGGCATCTCGCCCTTCCCCGGAGTTCCCACATCCAACCAGGCAATAGGTGCCAAGGTGGGAGCCGGAGCGCGTTTGCGCCGAGGCGATGTGCGTCTATTGCGTGCCGAGAACCGCGTAAGCTTGGAGCTTTAGTCCATGGTCGATTATGGTACAAAGACCCTCTGCTGTTTCTCTTCTCGCCAAATTCCGGTCATTTTCTTAGCTGTCTTGACTAGCGGGGTTTGTCTCGTTGTGATGTTTGACTCGTGATGCCCGGCATAATTTTCCGTCCGGTGAGTGGTAGAGGTCATTTCGATAATCGAGACTCGGAGGTTAGGCTTCTTGTGGTCTACTTCGTTGACATATCCGCCCGTTTCCCACCTTCCCTTCTTCTCCTCCAAGACCCTCACAACATATCTTGAGTGAAATCCTAAGGACTATTGCAGACCTCAGCTAGCATAATTCGGTGATGCCTTGGTTAATGGTTTCTCTTCGTAAGGCTTGACCCCAGGTCAAGCGTGCCTTGGACCTCCATTTCCGTTTCCCTACGTATCGTTGTGCTCAGGACCAAAAGTTCGAAGTGTATTCGCGACATCCGGCTTTGGATCCAATAACGAGGCTCATTGGAAGCCGAAATCGCATAGATCCTGTCCAATTTCCCGGGTGGGTGCCACAATCTTCTCTTCTTTTCATCTGAGACGTTTCCCCTTGTCATATGGCCAAACTCGGTGATAAGTCGCGCGAGCGCAAAGAAAAGATTCAGACGGAGAAACTCTTCCGCCTCGCCCTTCTCTGGGTTTTCGTCGTCATCGTCGACATACGTGATATTCTCACCCAAAAGCCACGCGGTAAATCTTTCAATGACCTCTCTTCTTCGCCCTTTCAGCCCGCACGATAAACTCCTCAAAGCTCACCGCGTCAGCACTCTTCCGGCCAACATCATCGTCAACGCGCACAACACGGCCCCAGCCCTTGATAAGAGCCCGCCAGTAACACACCTCCGCGGCAGGGCTCAGATACCCTCGACCAGAGAACAACGCCCGCTGCCGTCTCGCAATCCCGCGCGCCACGTCCGGGTGATCCTCCAACCACCGGACCGTCGCCTCCAGGTCCGACCAGTCCGGCTTGACAAAGACCATGTTGGCTTCCTCTGCGCGGAGTGTCGTCGGCCACTGCTCCAGTGTTCTTGGTGAGAGTTGATGCTGCTGCTGATGTCGCTGCTGCTCATCCCGCGGCTTGGCTTCGAAAGAAGCAGTCTCGGGCAACTCTGACTGGCCTCCTAATAGTAGGGAACTCGAGTACACCGGCTCAACGAGGTGCGTCGTATGCTGCATCCACTCCAGCGGCGGACTCAACACCACGCTCTCGCAAAGCTGATGAAACTGCAGCCGGCCAGAGTACGACACGCCCCCGGTGTGGATAATGTACTTGTACCTGCAAAAATCTTCAATCGCCAGCGCGTTCGTCGCGTTCTCCCCGTTGTTCGTCCACTCGAGCGCCTGCACGTCGGCCCATCCCGCGTCCTTTGTGAGCTGGATGAGGTCCTGTCGGGATCGCGGGTTCGCACTGGCGCCGTTGTTGAACCACGACGTGCCGCGCCACACGGCCCGGGCATTCTTCTTCTCGAACGGCAGGCTGGCTTCAATCTCGGCGATGGCGGAGGCTGCGTGCGGGAGGGAGCGAATGAAGGGCTGGGTCCATGCCCAGAAGGAGAAGTGGGGGATGGGGAAGGTGTGTCGAGGGGACGAGGAGGAGGAGGGCGAGGTCCGCGCCGGACGGCTGTGGGACCAGGTATGTCTGATGGGCGTGTCCTGGATGTAGAGGTTGAAGTAGGTGTCTGGTAGAGGGGTTGGTGAGGTGAGAATGGCGCGGTGTAGCTGGTGGAGGGCGGCGCTTTGTCGCTTGGTCTTTTGTGTTAGTTGCTGAGATTCAAGATCTTTCTATCTCCCTCCGCTTGGAGGTGGAAAGTGTGTAGCATTGGAGAAGAACTCACCTCGATCCATTGATCTGACATGTCCACAGGTCTCGGCGCCTGCAGTATCAGTATTCTATCGTCTTTGATCTGCCCCAGCAGCGAGGCGGAAGCGTCGCCGAGTCCGAGCTGGAACTCTCCCTCGGCCGCGGCCAGGTCAATCTCCTCTGTCAGGCCGGGGAACGTTGCCTGGCATTGTTCCTCGTTTAGGTGGAGGTGTTCGAATTCAGATGCCGCTCCAGTCGCAAGGCCGGCCTTCTTTTTCCAGTCAAAAGACACCGCCGTGGAGTGATGTCCTGTTGAGGGATTCCAAAGCCTCTCTCGCGGGTAAAACAGAACGTAAGTGACAAGGACGAGAGTGGCTGCCACGAAAACTGGCCCTACTCGCCGCGCGGCCTTTCTTTGGCGCATTGTTCTTTCACTTTTCTTTGCTTCCTTCCTGGAACGACAGACTATAACATCATCTCAAAGTTTGGTTGAAATGTAATTGAAAGAGAATGGAAATTGAATCTGAAGCAATGTGGTCTGAAGTCGGTATTTCAGATGGTTTGACCGGTCACTTCAAACCGAGGTGTCCCCTGCTCTCAACATGCGACACTGCTGGGGAGCGGGGTCTCCCGCGAAAGAGAGTTTTGCAGCATATAGACGAACCCAAGTGTTAGGAAAAGCAAGTCACTGTCGCTTTATCGGAGACTCGATCCTATGAAGTAGGACCAAACACCTACCATGCCAAGAATCATTGGTTGTATCGGGCGGGGCCGGATGTTCGGCATGCAAAGCGATTCGAAAGACACAACTCAAGCTTCCCTAAATTGTGCCGCGGCGACAGAAAGGACCAGGAAAGACTTCCGTACGAGGAAACCAGGAACGTTCGGGGCCGAAATGTTGACCATGGCCTGATTCATCTCCCGCCAAGCCGTCAGCGGATCTGTGGTGGGAGTTTGGGTGGCAGGTCCTCCCTCAAAGGATATGCCTTGAAGAGAAGGAGTGTTGTGTTCGGGCGGGGGATCTCGACGCCAATTGGCCTGGAGGTTACTTTCCCCAAACACGTGCTCGTCCTAGTCCACCAATCATCTTACACATTGATATTGACCCGTTGCAACGTCCCCCGGATTTCCGCTAGACTGCCGCTCTCCCGGCGGAACCGAAAACTCATTGACATAGCCACGGGACGAAGCGTCTTGAGATTTGAAGCTTGTGGTGGCTGTGCCATCCTCTGCAGTCCCGTGCTGATGGCAGGCTTGACCAGGTATGTCGCAAGTATACAGGTAAGAACAAGACTGGTCACAGCTGCCCTGGTTGACGAAATGAGGAAAGAAAGTCCTGCCGTGGGGAGCTCTGCGCTGGAACCATCGGTAGCACCGGTAGCACCGACAGATCAAAGTATACCTGGCCTAAATTTCGCCGAAGAAACCGAGGTAGGTGAGCAGAGGTTTTGGCATCATGCCTAACTCCGTGCCGTGCACTGAAAGTCACGAAATAGCCGGCAACTAGCGGAAGCTACGGCACATTCTCCACCTTTGCCGGAGCAGTCTACGGCGTCTTCCCGGTCGATTGAAAGGACAACATGCCGTGGCCCCGACTCAGTGTCAACCTTTGGAGATGTCTCAAAATTCTGCCCCAGAGGAAGTGCCTCAAGTCCCAAGGGTTCTTCAATGTACAGTAGTTTTATGGCAGTTCTTCGTAACCTTCGCGGTTATACATAGCCCGGCGGCCTTCTGGGTACCATCGCAGCAATGACGGCTCCGAACACCGAAAATGAGGGGCGTACTTGCTTGGGTGACACAGTGGGTGGTTGTTTGCATTGCTCAGCATCATCTCGACAATAGAAATAATCTCCTGAAGCCTAAACTTGGAGCAAGCTCACAGACCATCGCTAAGTCCCGTGCCGAATCCTGCAGGACCCGAGCCTCATCTTCAAACTCAACGTCGACTTTAACATCAATTTCACCTTCAAGGTCTTCCTCATCTTCAGTCTCAACTCAGCTGAACTCATCTCAACTCATCTCAACTTCTATTCAGTAGATTGGGCACGTGTTCGAGGACTTAGCAGAACATCATGCATGTAGGAGATTGTTGGGTCACACTGGCGGAGTTGATAAAAGAACAACGTCATGATCAAACAAATGAATTAGAATCGTTGTTGCTTTTCGCAACAATACGTACAAATATCTTGCGCCTGCATAGAAAAGGATTCATGGTCCTCTGCGGCTTTTGTAAAGCAGCACAGCCAGCACCAAGACTCAACTCCAAATAAAACCGTTTCCATGCCGTGTTATTCACTGTTCAGAAGCCGGGGACGCCCGTACCCTGGGTGTCATTGATAAACTAACGAAATAGCGGCCAAGCCATACATCAAATCTAGTGCTTCATGCGAATTAAGAGCAAATGCCCTTTGGATATCGTTTGTACATCCAGCAATAGCTGGGCCAATCTTCATGGCTTCAGTTTCTTACAACAGGAAGGCACCGAACATGGTGAACAGGGCGGCCAGACCGGCAACAGCCAAAGGAGCCTTCTCAATGGGGCTACCAAAGGTCATGCCAGGAGCAGCGTTGGAAGAGCCAGTGGCGGAAGCGCCGCCGGAAGCACTGGCAGAGGCAACACCTCCGGTGGTCTCGCCGTCTGAAGCAGAGTCACCAGCGGTCTGGGAGCCATCGCCACTGAGACCGGGGCCAGTACCAGCACCAGCGGTCATGTACTGTCGGTTTGTTAGCGGCCTACTCTTCTCAAGGAAAAGAATGGATATAATTTACCTTCTCGGCAGCGGAGGGGATGGTAGGGATCTTAGTGGGGTCGACCATCCAGACGGAGTCAGAGGTAGGGCAAGCGACAGAGTGGGAGGTAGAGGCGGCACCACCATCACCAGTAGGGGCGGGATACTTGGAAAGAGCGCTCTTGAAGTTGGCGTACTCGTCAAGCTCGGAGACAGTGCTGCCGCTGATCTCGACGATACCGTACTTGTTGGCCTCCTGTGAGTACTCGTACATCAGACCACCAGAGTAGACGCCGGTCATCTCAGAGTTCATGAGAGCCTCCATCTCGTCGAAGGTACGGGTGTTGGTGTTGCAACCGTACTCGGACAGGCTGTATCATTGGTTAGTTTTAGAAAAGCAAACGGGGAATATTCGTGTTGCTTACAAAATGGGAATACCGTAGTCGGTGAAGTTCTTAACCTTGACGTCCCATCCAGACTGCTTGAAGCTGGAGCTGCACCAGGAGTAGTCGTTGAAGGCGAAGAAGTCGGAGCGGGCATCGTCGCTACCGCAGTTGAAGTACTCAGCGGACTGCATGCGATTGTCGGCGACATCGGCGGCAGAGTAGCCGACGGGGACGTGGCGAAGGCCGCGGGAGGCCATGTAGTTCTTGATGTCACGGGTAACAGCCTTGACGTAGGGGGCGGTCAAGGTGGTGTTGGCCTCATCGTGGATGACCTCGTTTCCGGAGAAGAAGGCGAGGGTGTTGTCGTACTGGGCGAACTCCTCGACGGTGGCGAAGACGCTCTGGAGGTAGACGGCGTTGTAAGAAGGGTGAGGGTCGGCGCGGTTGATGGAGTACTTGGGGTTGTTGACATCGGCGACGAGGTAGATGCCAGCGTCGGCGAGCTTCTGCATGCACTCCTTGTGGTCCTTGGAGTTGTCGACGGAGTAGACACGGATGGTGTTCACACCGAGGTCCTTGAACTTGGGAATGTCACGACCGCAGATGGTGGTATCGGCCAGGGGGTCGACGTTCTCGGAAGAGCCACCGGGCTGGTAGTCGATACCACGGACGTAGAAGCGGGTGCCATCAGCGTAGAAAGCTATTCATGTCCATGTCAGCCAATTGGGTCAGAACGATGCGATATTTGGTGATCCATACCGTTGCCGGAGGCGGAGACTGCGGGCAAGGAACGGGCCTTGATGGGGGCCTCGCGCTCAGTAGCAGTAGGCTTGGCCGAGACGACGGACAGGGCCGCAAGGGCGGAGATGGCAGCGACAGACTTCATTGTGAATATGTGTGCGAAGGAACCAAAGTGAATTCCCAAAAACCCAAGTTGATGATCAGAAAGTGCCAAGCGGTAGAACGTTCCGAAAGAGTGAGGAACAGTTGAATGTGAGCTGCGAAAGGGGTGAAGTTTCGGAGTCCAAAAGGGTTGTTGATTAAAAGGGTTGGTCGGTTTAGTGAAAGGTAGATGAGGAAATAAAGTCAACCAAAGCGAGGGAGTTGACGTGTGGGTTTATTGAAGAGGAAAGGGAGGCGCACTCGAACCCGGGGAAAATGGCAACGAGAGGTCGGATGAGGATTTTGAGAGAGAATAACGAGAAGGAGAGAAAGAGAGAGGTCGGGCGGGAAGGAGGGAGGTGGATGATTAAAAAACGGCGTGATTGACGGTGGTGGTACGCAGTACTTCGCACATTACCTGGGTTGTTAGTGTATTCGTACACTAGGTACTCCGTACCTGTTATTCGTACGAGCGAGTAACCAAGAAGGAGGAGCAGGGCAAGCCGCAAAGTGGAATTCGTTCTTTGCAACCCACACCCCCCAGACTCTGGGAGGTGAAGGTCTCCACTGCGCGCCCTCTTTCCCAGTCTCTGAGTCTCCTCCCAGACTTTGCGGCCCTGGTCCAGATTTCCCTTGCCTTGCCAGCTTGCCAAGGAAAGGACCGACAGGAGTCGTGGACGGTGGACCACGCCGCCCGGGGAGGAAAGGAAGGGGAGGGAAGGGATCAAGGGGGGGAATAGGAGCAGCAGCCGTTCATTCGCCTAATTGATTCTAGTGTCTCCTTGTGTCTGTCAGACAACCGCACCATCGTCCTTCACTGGCTGGATGGCAGCTGTTCTCTCTTGCTTGGACGTTTCTCCTGGGAAGACATTTGCGAGTCCAATTCAGGGGACGGGAAGGGAAGGCGTGGGTCACAATTCTCCATTAATATGAACCTAAGAGGAAAGAGGGGTGTGGCTGCAGACAGCGGGAAGGTGGGATGGAGCTAAATCGGGTTCCTGGCAAGCAAGAGCAAAACTCAATTGGCTGTTGAGCAGGCACTCAGCCGGTGGCCCTTCCTAAAGCCACACCCCATCTTGCTCAATTTGATCAGGTTGTGTATTGTAAACACGGGCAGAAAGATTATTGGTGATGTAATTCTGTCAGGTCGTCCAGCGTCCGTCTCTGGGCGCGTTGCACCGGCGCGTCTGGGCACAGGCTTTTTGTCCACGTCGTCGACAAACCACCGCCTTGCGACTTGCCGTGGCCCGTTTGGCTCTCTCACGCTCTACTCCGTATGGGTACCAGAAAGAGAGGCAGCACATTTTGCTCTATTCCCCATCCGTCGCACCTTGGAAACAATCCTATTATTCCATCCCCATTGCTTCAAGTCGCCTGGTCGAACCCGCTGAAACGCAACAAAAACGACGATCGCCTTTGGAACCAGCCTTTTTCGAGGCAGCGAGACGCTACGAACTAGTAGCACTGCTTATCAGCATCCCTTCCAATGCCGCTGAGCCGCTTGGCCGTCACGCCGCCTCCCAGTGCCAGTCTCACTCAGCCATTCGTACCTGATGTGTTTTTTCTTTCTTTCCGGTTTGGCTCGTATCCCAAAAAACTCTTGTTGAGTAGGTATCTGTGCCTTTAATCGCCACAGCCATAAACACGCCTCCGTACGAAAAAAGAACACGAATTTCCCCACACACCATCGAAGCACCATTGCCTTTTACTGCTGCCGGCTTGCCGCTACTATGTACTTGAAATTCCAACTCCACGAGGCAGGGCATCATCTATCCATCTGACGACAATCACGATAACAAAGACCCACCGACCAAAATTCAATCCTCAAGGTGGTAGGTACTTGGCTACAGTACTCACTCAATCCCATGTGCTCATGGCCCCAAGCATGTCCGTCTCACGGTCTCACCCACCCTACACCCCTTTTTTTGCATGCCGACAGAGACATTACGACCCAGCCGCCAGTCAGAAAGTGGAGATCAATCCCCATTCTTTGCCCCAGTCAAAAACGACATTCCATGCACTGCCACAGCGATCAATGGAGGTAGGGAGCGCCCCTGCCAGTCCCTGCCTTCCGATTCCGCGTCCTCTCGTCACCACCACCACCACAATCCACTGGCACCACACCTGCACACCAACTGCAGTCTGCAACTAGTTCTCGACCTTCTATCCAGTTTCCTCCACTTCGGCCACCGAGAAAATCCTCAAACATCTCCTTCAATTGGCCAAGACCGACCTCCAACGCGAGAGAAATGATCTCAAGAAAGCTCCAAGAGAAAGACCATGCAGCTAAGAAACGGCCATAGCAAGACTCACTTCGCTTCGCCGGCGATCTAAAGAATGCCGCGCCGCGAAGTCCACGTCAACACTGCCACCGCCCACCGAGACCCAACCTCCACCCCGGCCCGGTCTGGTCTCATTCTCAGGTCTATCGCAACTCTGCTGCCGTTTGATGCCGAGTAGATTGAACTTTGAAGCCCAGACGCAGAACGGTACTGCGTACACCAATCTGCTCGAGTCCAATCCCTTTGGCCTATCTGTACGGATCAGGATACAATTATCACCATCCCCCGTTCGGACTGCGACCTACGAGGCTACGACCACTCCACGAGCCCATGCACTGATGCAGACGAGAAATTATCCGATCGATGATCATATTTCGAGTCCAACGTCGTGGGTTCCACTACGTCAGTCCCGCCCATTTCAAGGTGCCCAGTTTCAGACCAACCTCGACGTGCTACCGATTAGATTGAAATCTTTTGCCTGGGTCTTTGCCTGATCGTTGTTACCAGAAAAAGAACACATATCGCGGCCAATCAATCCAGGACTGGATACAAATAAACTGAATCTCTCTCCGTTTCTCTCTGTTCGGTCCGTCTGCCCACTTCCCCCGGACATGACGCAGGCCACTTATCCAAGTTGAAAAGGCGGCCAGCCATCTCTTCAAATGAAACGGCGTCTGGTCAGCTGTTTCCATTCAGTCGCCTCGTCCGTCTTCCCTGCTTGGAATTTTGGCAGTGAACCCTGACCGACTTTGCCTTACAGCTTGCAGGCATACGGCGTCCAAGCCGCCAAAATTTCGCAGTCGCAGGAAACAAATGCAGCCCTTGGGCACAAGAAATTGCATCCTCGATTCATCCCAAATTACCCCCCTTCACCCCTCCATCTTCTGCACGCAGCACCCATTCTGTGTGACACCCTTCAGCGGATTTATCAGGGGTTATCCGCCCTCGACTGTCATCTGATTGGTGCTTGGCCAGTGCTTGGCCCGTTCTTGGGGACATGGACTACTCATGGGAGTCCTTTTCACCTTTGGCCTGACCTTGGCCTCGAACTGTTTGCTTTGCTTTTGCTTTTTTGGGAGACTCCGAATCCATGCCAAGTTGCCAGACTTGGCTCCTGCAGTCTATCCATACACTTCCAAGCGGCACAGAAGAAGTAAAAAAAAATCTCTCAAGAGATTACGCTCTACAGAAGCGACCCTTGGCGGATTCTTGTGTAAAGAACACTCCAGTCTCTTCTCTGTTCTCTCAAGCCCAGGCCATTTCCCTCTTCCTTCTTTACACTTACTCGTCGGGCCTCGTCATCCTCCAGGTCACACCCCGCAAAAGGCCCGTGGGCTCTTGCAGCGAACTGGAATGGCCATGCCCTGGCTGGCGGGTGCCCGCGTTACTGGCAGCGGGAGGGCCGGTTGGGATCTCCCCGATCCCCTTTCCCCCCTTCTGCTCGCTCCCCTTTTGCCTTTTGACCGCAAACGGAATGGGCCACGATCTCAACTCCTGGTAGGGGAGACGATGCCACCGAGTCCTTGCAGGGGGGATGAGAATCACCAGTGACGCCCTGAATTTTTGGATTTTTGGTGACACTGACAGGTACATTTGACGTTTCTGTCTATCAAGGTGGTCAGAACACTTTCATTACTGTCAAACCTAGCACACGTACACGGTGAAACACCATGCGAATGAATCTATTCGCAATGATGGGGGCGAAAAACAAGAATGCTTTGCTATTTTCAACTACTTCAAAAAAACCACCGGAATTGAGCCCCCTCCTAATGCTCCAACTCGACTCCCGCCGACTTATATGTAGAAAAAAGAGTACAGAGCACTGAATGTATGCACCTTAACCTATGCTACTTCGTTGTCTCGATCTCCGATACGCAGCGACATCGTCCAGCTTCGATTTCCGCCGCTCTCTCTGGCTCTGATTTCGCTTCACCAGTCGGACGCTGGTCACGCGTTCCGGGTAAAACGTTGCCGCAGGATCCGCTGCTCGAGGCGGCTCTCGATCACCCTCTCTCTCCGTCTCAAACCCCTTTTGTTGCGTAACGTGCTTCTGCGGCATTCGTGGAATGTCTCGCAGCACAATGTCCTCCGCCGCCGCCGCCGCAGGCGGCTTCAACGTCCTATAACTTCTTCGTCTCTGAGCACACGACTCCTAGACTGCCTGGACGTAGCTTGCAGGCACGCTCTTCGTTGCGCCGCCCTTTTCGACTTCGGCCCAACCGTCGCCCGGATCGTCCTTGATGAGGACAAATCTCTCGCCCTCCGTCATGCTGTGCTCTGCGTCGCTTTGCGCCGTGTACTCGTACAACGCCTCCACGTACTTGAGTTTCTTGGCTCCGCGCTTCGGAGCGACTGCCGGCCCCTTCTTCTTCGGTCCCGCTGTCCCAATCGAGGAGCCAGAGTTGGAGTACGTCGACTCGGGCCGGGCGGACGCTCCGGTGTTCTGCGCGACCATGGGCGATGGTGGTGCCCAGTCGACATAGCTGGCGGGCACAATGCCTTCTTTGTATCCTGCGCGCACCTTGACCCAGCCAGTGCCATCTTTGAAAGTTTATTAGCAAATGGGAGTAAATCTGGCGAGGATGAAAACATACCATCAGGTTCTAGCATTGTGACTTCCCGGCCTTCGACTACAGATACTTCACCGTCGCCACTAGCTTCAAAGGTGTAGAGCATCTTGCCCTTCTGCTGGTCTGGAGAGCCCGACCCATTCGGCGCGCTA